GGAGGGTGCTAGAAAGCGACACTACCATCTGATGTTTTGCACTATTAGATATGCAAGTGACAGCCTGGACAGTTTTGATGCAAAAGTGTTTGCAATAGGATGAGCAAGCGGTTTTGGTATCTTTAAGCGTACTGCAGTCCACCATCTGCTAGCCCCACCTCTCATGCATGCTAAGGTTTTGGGCTAGCTTGAGTCAGCCTTCTAGCTTCCGAGGTACCTTCAGCAGTTCCTAGTTCACCCCCCACGCAGCATCTGGGACAACACAAAATGTGCATAATGAAAACACAGCATGCCATTTATGTAATTAAGATCATCAGGTCTCCAGAAGATGCGAGTGTCTTCCCTGAGCTCATGTTGTACCTGCAAAAATAAAACAACCAACATGAGACAGACTAAGTATGAAAAGTGTGGCTGCAAAGCTCCAGGCTGCAAATCCACAGCCATTGCTGTTGCTGGAGGCAACAGTATCTGCTGGATGCAGTTCCTGAACAGCAGAGCACAGGCATGTTAGTTAAATGACTATGATATAACCATACCCCATGTTTTTGCTGTAATTTACTCTGTTCATGTGTCAGCATGAAGAGATCAGAGAGATTGCCTTTGCTTTCCTCAGCACTGCCTAATACCTGCTGCGGTCTTAGGCTCAACCATCCCTTCATTTCATATAGCCAGAGGTATAACATCTGATTCCAGTCACCCAAGTAGTACAGGTGCACAAGGCTTCACTAAGTAGGTGGTCAAGATCTCAAAGACAGACTTGATGTGCATCTCAACTATAACTTCTTAAGGCACATGGCTGCCTCCAAACCAACTCCAAAAATTGTGAGTAGGTATCTTCCTTTTCCCTAGTATTTAACTGTTATGTATACAGTAAGAATTTCATAATAGTAGTAGAAACTTTTTTGAAATGTTTACCTATGTCTCATAGAAAAAGGATACTATCCTTTTTAAGATTAGGAGTCAATGTATATTTCTTTATTCTGTTGGTTTTCACCGCGGTTTTAAACACTGAACTCGCAAAAACTTGTTGCCTGAAAAAACCCTCAGTCATCCTTCCACCCCAAATAACTAACTAGTAATTATAAATCATCAAAAACACTTAAGTGTTACAAGAGATGCCAATCTTTAGGAAGTGATTTCCCAGGATGCCTCAGTGTGAAGCTTAAGAGCAGAATTTGGACAAAGCATGGAACAAAATAATTTTAAAAAGCAAAAACATCAGTTTTAATAATTAACTAAGGAAAATGTTATCTAATGCTTCCCTACTTAACTTAACAGCTACCAGAACAAAAAAAGCTTCACATAGCTGGATATATTCACCTTCAATATTATCATCTACAACTGTTGTTTTAAAATTTCATTGCTGCTTGTCTTTTTATATATAAAGACTACTCACACTAAGATGTTTCCATTATACATCAATAAAATACTTTTGCCTTTGGGTCTCTCAAAGTAAATCATACCAATAGTGCTGCACAGGCAGTATGGCACACAATGTGTTGTGCATTCATCACCGAGACCATGAAACTTACTATCCTCTTGAGTAACATACAATGAAGTTGTATGGCACTTTGAAGTCAGGTGAAAAACCCTACAGTGGCTGTAGCAATGCTTTTTGTGTTCTGTTTTGTTTTCATACATTTGCCAGTTCTGATCAGCTTTCCCAATTCCACAAGCTGAAGACCACAGAGATGCCACTGGTATACTTCTGCCTTCCATTCTTCCATGCTCACAATGACAACCCATGACAGTTAAATCCCACAGTTCCCTTTCCTTTGTGCTTTACGAAGTTTGTGTTTATTTGCTTGGGTAATCTAACCTAAACACTCCTTAATCTGAACAGTTTCCTTTTGATCATAGTTTTATTTCTAGCAGTTATGTTCTTTTCCTTGTAATATACTTAGAAGCCATCATTATTCAGTAAGAAAACCACACCCAAACACTTCCAATCTCTCTTCCTTTTCCCTCCAATACCTACAGATAAACTAGGCAGTGCAATCAGCACTTTTTTTTGTATGTGCAGACATGCTCCCCACATCCTCACCGTATGTGTTGTGCTGTACTGTCTCTGGTCCTTCCTCCTGGCTCATTCCCCTAGTTCCTTCCCATCTTAACTGCTCTTGCTCCTGCATCCTTTCTTTCTTTGACACTGCACAGAAGTAATTCTCATCATGCTCCTAATCATTAAGTGCATTTTTCTTTACTTCCTTTCTACTTTCTCCATTTCTACCTCTTAAGCTCAAGTTCACTAAAGTGTATGACTACTGTATGAACTTCTTCACATCATTCCACCATTCCCATTCCACATTTCTAACTCCCTGCTTCCTAAAACATCCCATGTTTCAAAAAGGTACTTTCACATTGCTCAATACTGTTATTAATCACTTACTTGCTTTGGTAGTTCCCTCACTTACTTACTCCTTAAGCATCTCTTTTAATGATTCCAGCTACTCCTTTTTTTCCCCCCTCTGTGAGCAACATTTGTCATCTTCCTCCTATTATCCTCAGGCAACATCATCTGCAGTTTCCTATTCCTAAACTAAACTAAGAAATTAAGTATTATTCTTCTCACTTGTCCCCTTGCCTTGTTCCTTCCAGCAAGCTGTCAACACCTCAAACTAAGTGGTGAAAATAAAAATAAGCAAGAGATACCTATCCTTCCTGTCAAGCATGTAGGCACTCTAAAATTATTCTTTATCCTACCCCTAAAGTCTGTATGTGAGACTTTTTCCCCCCCTCAAAAAGTTAAGTCTTCTCCCTTTTTCCCCAACTACCAAACCAAGCCCTTTGCTATCATTGTACTTACGGCAGATGTAAATACTTTTCCTTTCCAGTTAGCTGGAATTTGCATAAGTCTCTCTAAAATATCTTTCAGAAGTCACATTCTTCTTTTGTTGTCTGACATTATTAATCTTTCATAATTAATCTTATTTAATCTTACACCCCAGAGTAACTTCAATGTGCCTGCCCTATTCATGCCTTTCTCTCTCTTCCTTAAACTTCTGTGCCAAAGCTTTCACCTTTCTTAATGTCTCACTTATTTCTCCTAAGCCTATTTCTTCTGTGCCACACGAGTCACACTTCTCCCCTCAAGCCAACTTGCTACTTCAGCAGAAAAATTAAAACCTACATTTACAGACCTCCAAAGAATTGACATCTACAGTACTCTACAGAAAATTAACTCTTTCTAGGCAAAGATCACTGAAGCCTCAAGAGATCTTCCCCATCACAAACATCAGCGTGCTGTTTCATATTACAGAGTATCTCATCTGAGCATATATTGTATGGAAAATAACTGAATGTATTAATCAGAGAGATAGAAAAGATACCAAATAAAAGGACCATTAAGTATCTTCACATTTGTTAGGTGACAAGAAGAAAAACAGAGCTACAATGATAAGCATCATACCCATCAATTCTGTCATTTTAGCACTGAATCCACAATGTATTTAGCAATTCAAACACACAAATAATAACAGCGTACCTTTATTTTAACACATGCACTGCACTGATGCAGTAGATACAATGCCAGCAGTCTTCCTCTTTGCACAAACTATTATCAATCAAGTTTTTAAATACTCAAATCACATTTCTAGGTGGAAGCGGCATTTAGTGCAAAGAATAATTAAGAAAACCCTAATGTTAACCATATCTTGGGAACTGTCTGCATACATAGTGCAGCAATCATAGCTGTTTCCCAACTGGCCTTAACTAAACCTGGAAAACTGATCAGCTATAGCAGTTTGCATTTGAAAGTTCTAACACAGAGAGACTTGTTTTCCTTTTTAAAGAAATCTACACTACAGCAACAAATAAATAAAGACTGACAGTGTGTATATATGTGCTTGGAATCAATTTAGCAACTTAAAAAAATATAATGTTTGCTGTCTGTTGAATTGATTTATACTGCATCTATCACTTTAAAAAAACCTACATTTAAAAAAGTTTAAAGAAAAAAAATAACTCCTCCAATTCTCTTTATACTGTATCAGTTGAAAAGGAAAGATTTGCAAGCACTGCTGCCTCTCACCTATCAATATGTAATGCCGGTCCTCTGGTCATTCCAGAAACCGATTTCAGAACATGCCTGCACACCCAGCACCTCCGTGCTCAGGCAGCCTTGTGCTGTAATGCCAAGTACAATGCTAGCCTTGGTACAGTAAGCCAGCAAGCATATTAAGTCATCTTCCAGTTCAAAACTGGAACTTTTACTTCAGTAAAAACAGCCACCCCTACTTGGCGTGACTGATTCCTACACCTATCAAGCTCACTCAGGAAGATATACGCTGTAAGCCACGTCCCAATGAACGCCTGTGTGCTCAATTTCACCTACGATACTCACGCTTGCAAAGTTAAGGATACACGTAACTGCTTACAGGACATCTGCATTCATTTGCAGCTACGCAATATCTCGACTGCAGTCCTGTATCATGAATGAAGGGTCATTACTAGGTTATAGGCAATAATACTGCAGTATTTTCTGGGATGCTAAAACATTTGGGGAAATGCAAGACGCTTCTCCTGCTTAGAGGGAGGCTCTGCTCTTTGGAAGTATTTAGGAATGCACAAGCTCTAGGCCATGGAAGAACTGTAGCCCATATATATTAAAGAATTAACATTAACTGCAATAATTTAAAACGGTAAGATTGAAGAATACTTGTATTTGCTCTCCAATTTGAAAGCCTTTTAACACACAACTGCACAACACAAAAATAATTACACGCTAAATGAAGAGCAAATTTTTGCAAGTTTTCCATTATCACTCTGGAATTCTACATAGGCTACTCAGATTTCATGAACAGTTTATGTATGTGGGACAGAAAAATTCTTCTTTATGTACAATTTAAGGACACAGATCTTAGGAGTGCATTTTGTTTGTTTTATTTTCATTAACAGTATTGGGGGGGAAGCAAGTCCCTCCAATAAAACCAAAAACAATATTGATACTAGCTGTTGAAGAGAAAACATCATTATGGTTCAGGATTAGAGTGTTTAGGGAAATAGTGCACTTTTTATTCTATCTTGGAAATGTATAGAAATGCACAAAATGGTTATATCCTTCCTACCTCCTTTCAAGTGGAATCTTTAAACACTGAAAGCAAAGTTGTAGTCAGTACACAGCACATTCTTACAAAAATATAACTTCTCAGGCAACATGAGGAACAGTTAAAGAAAAAATGCTTTATATTTCAGAACAAAGCTACAATGCAACCTACCTTCCACTGATTTTTACACTGCAAGTGAACCTACTTCAGCAAGAGCCCCACACAACAGTCCATCTGCAGCAATGTGACCAGGACTTACCCTACCGAAGTATACATGTTTGTCTCAAAACATTCAATATTGGTGCACATGAATCTAGATCACACACACGCTTCTTCACCCTCTACAGCAACCTTTCCTTCTTCAAGAACCTAGCGCTTCCCGTAAGGTTGAGGAGTGTATGCCCCCAAGAACCTCATTACACTCAGTCTCTTGCACTGTGGTGGGATGCAAAGCCAGCTTTCATTTTCATGCTGATAGAATTTCAAAGTTCCTCTATAACCTACTGTTAAATCCGTATCTAAATCCAAATAATCAATGCGGCAGCAGCTAAAGAATTCCATGAGGTGAAAGGTCACAGATTCTTCTCCTGCAGAAAAGATTACAGCAATGATGAATAAAACTAGAGTAAATAAAGAAAATCTTAAGACTAGCTTTATTCCCTTTGCAATGAAGGATTTGGGGTATCCTTAGAAGATTTATTCCTTTTTTTCTTTTTAGTTATGCCCTTCTCTATATGGAAGTACTGCAGTGTTCATCTAAGAAAAAGAAATCAAACAAAAATCCCTCCATCCTTAAAAAGCACCACAGATAAAATCTGGTGGAAAAACAAGAAAAAAACCAAACTCACTCCATGGACCACCCTTCAGGGATGAAATGCTAAAGATGTTTTTTTAATGAATCAGTTTGTGAAGATCTACAAAAAAATAAAAAGGATCACATTCTAAAGGTTCAGTGCATTAGCAGCTATATAGTTTTGCTGCTTATTCATCATTAAGTTGACTTTCAAAAAATAACACCCTAGCTCATCAAAATATACATTTTCCATTTGCTTTTAAATTAAAATAATAATAAAAACATTTAAAGAATCCACAATCAATAGCATGACTAAGTTGCAGGATCATCTACAGCATATAATTTAAAGGTTCAAGATGCCAATATGCAGCATGTGGTAGGCCTATATGCTCCATGCAGCATGTACATTTAGGACAATCTCAGACAATCTTGATGTTCAGATGTCAGTTTGTTTCTTCCAAATAGTGTAGAATACCCATCTGGAGAAAATAAGCAGTTAAGGAAAAAAGCAGCAGAGTTTGCAGTACACAGTTAAAACTGAAGTAGTTCTTTTCACTTACATTTCAATTCTGAAAATTTCTGGTAGTAGCTCATAAAGATGGGGTAGGTAAAAATCTCAAAAGTTAAATCTCCCTAGATCCTCTTTTTGGCTCAGCAGTTCAAAACAGCATCTCACTTCCACTGAAACTTAAATCCTTTGCAAACTCATACTTTCCAATTCCTGCTGCAGACTTTCAGGTGGTGCTTTTTTTTTGTATTGCAACCACTGAACAAACTACACAAGTAGTTTGGGAAAAGCAATCAGAAGTTCCATCAGGAGTTCACCAAGTTGAGATCCCTCTTGCTCACCTTCTCAATTGTGAAGTAGCAAGCTTGAATAGGAAGGAAACATTCAGCTACCTAATTTGTGAATCCCTAAAGCAGACACAATCAGAAACAAAATTAATACTGAGATGTTCAGTAGCTGAACACTAGGTGTCCGTGTATCTTACTAGGCAAACATTTAAATGTCTACTGCCTCTTATATGCCTCAGCAGGGGTTCTGCTGAATGCTCACTTAACAGATGCACCTAAATTTTGCCTGTGTTTTTCTCTAAAAGCTTCTGCAGTATTTGCCTTAGGTACCCAAGCACTTTTGAGAAAGCAGACCTTTATGTCACCCAGACTGAGGAATAAGCAAATACAGAGCGACTGGCAGCTGTATCAGTGATCTTTTCACTGCTCTTCTAGGGCAGATGGACCCAGCACAGTCAAACAGAAGCTATGCTCATATCACAGTTCTCCAAGGTACTCCTGGCAGGACAAACAACTGATCCTCAAGCTCTCTTACCATGTTAGGCACATGAGGTCAGAGCTACACAATTCCACCTGCCTCCCAAGAAGCACACAGGAGGATGAGACATGAACATCACTTTTTTCAGAGCTACAGCAACAGCTGCAGAGTAAGGCATAGATTTCTGGATTTATAACTTAGTAAAATCACATAAAGATATATGCTCTTCTGTTTACGAAGCAAGGCCACACATGCTCCAGATGGGAGCCTCCATGTTCACCATAGGGTCGTGGTGAAGACCTCAGACACACATATGCTTTCTTTACAATAGAGATGCTTTCTTTACAATAGAGAACTAGCTTTTATGTCAACAGCTACTTGAATTTCAGATGACCCCCACAGCAACACTGGTAAACACCACAATTTCAAGTAACAATTACACACAGTAACAATCCTCGAAGTATGCAAAACAAGTAACAAAAGGTCATAAGCCTGTTTAGTACTTTGGCTGCTTTCAGATACCCACGAAGGTAACTTTTGGTCAGATTATGAAAACAAACATTTGTGTAAGTGAAAAGATTTGTTCAGTGGCTTAAGAGATTTCAGGCACTTAAATGACCACCACAAATGTGTCACATTCTTCAGAAAGAAATAAACCCTGATTTTTTGATTACTTGTCACAATTCTACTATAAACTATCACAGCTCTCACATCATCTGTGAAAAAGCATTTAGGTATAATCTTCCATTCAGATACATACTCCTACTTGGAAGTTTCAAGAAAGGTGATAGCCTGTACCTGAAATACAAGTAACAGGCTATCAAAGTCCAAGGTCAAATTAGAGTACTTACTTTGGGCTAATCTGAAATCATCAAGATGACTTCTCCTGTAACATTCCTGCACCTATACCATTGCATCATTGTTAATTAATTCAGAAAAAGCAAATTAATAAAGCCTGCCTCATTTCTCCAAGAACTGTCCACTTTTAAGCTCCGTTATATCTATTTAATGGTCAGTTTTAATAAATTTATTGCCAAAATTATTTCATATGTTATCTTACTAGAAACGTTTAAAGGTGTTTTTCAAAGGAATGAAGTAGCATTTCCTACTCAATTCATTTAGAAACATTTTGCACACTTCCAAATAAACAATGCAATAAGTCTTTAAAAGACTTTCTGAGGATGCATACTTCAAACCACATACATGTTGCACTAAGGCCTGGCAGTTGTAAAGGCAAGAACACCTTGATCAGTTTCTCTGAAATTGTAAGCTACAAGGGCAAATATCTCCATATCCTCTTTCACTCTTTTTTGTCTTGAAAATGTTAAGATTAGAGTTTCACTGGAGAGCAGACAATGATGAGAAACAGGAGGAGCTTCTTACAGCCAGTATGGAGTCCACAACAGCACGCTACAGCATTGAACAGTATCAAGATTAGAGACAGAGAAGGGAGGTAAAATGAACACACAGAACAAAAGGCAGGCTGTGGCAGAGTTTCACACACTTAACTCGTTACCAGTAAGCAGATCCTGAAGATCTCTCCTGTTAAGATAGGGACAGCTGAAGCAGGCAATAGCCTGCAGAAACATTTCCCAGGGGATCACACAGAAGTGGTAAATGCTGAAGGCAAACGCAGCCAGCAGAACCACCCTACAGCAGATCAAAATGCTCCTCTAGAGCTAATGGCTTGAAGCTGAAACTTCTAGCTCCTTGTGTAACTTGCCTGCCACCCACGAAATTAAGAAATTCTGAAGGCTTACTTTTAGGAATGGGATGTTGCCAAGAAACATGTATATTCCTCCACTTAAAATGTTTTGGTTTGTTTTTTTTCCAGTAACACTAATTAGTAATGGTTATTAGGAATCACTTTTTCTTTCCATTAAAAATCCAGTTTGAGCTGCATGTTCAAGAATAAATCTATCAGAGAATATTTAAAGATCTAGATCATGCTAATCTGTATGAAGTTAGTTTGAGTTTTTTTGTGAAAGAAAAAAATAAGAATATGCAGTCTGCCAGAACTCCCAGGCAGCATTACCCTCATCATACAGTTTATCATACACTGCATAAACAATACACTTGGAAACACTCTAAAACATTAACAAAACCATAGCCTGATCTTGAAAGGTGCTCATCGCTTCACCAGCTGCGAATTTATGGCATCTTTAAGAAATAATTCCTGCAATTATCCTCAAAATAAAACTGTAATAGTTCATTTACTATGAAAAAACACCAACAGCATTTAAACTAGAACTGCCTTCTTGCACTTGAGTTCATTACCTCCAAGCAATCTATGCTTACTTGATTTATTAATATACACTCTCTGCTCTTTTTCAGTCTTTAAGGATACAATTCCATGTAGGAGGGAACACACACAGTTTCTTTTGAAAACTCCACAGGACAATAAAGCCTGCTAAGCTGTTCTTCATACAGAGTCAAGGCATCAGTCAGATTGATACAGTTTCCCTGAAGAAAAAAAACAGTAAAGTCCCAGTTACAATCAAATAAACAAAGTTGCAGATGAATATATACATTTTGACATGAATGAAAGGCTCCCACATACTTCATAACCAAATGCATGCTGTTCTTAATATTTAATATTTACAAGGCAAATACTGAACAGATTGTCTTCGTTCTGCCTACAGCAAACAACTTGTATCTTTTCATGAAAGGGTAAGTATGGTAGGATTATCTATCTTTTCATTAGCAGAAGCAACCATTACATTAGGGGTTCCAGTTAAAACAGACCACCATGTGTTGTTTACCTATAACATCTACTCAATAACCATTTTCTTTATGATTGCTTAAATACATTTGTAAAGAGTATTACAACATCCAGATTTTCTCAATTATTTAACATTGCCTAGGTCTTACAACATTAAAATGCACTATAAAAACATCCCATAACCGAATCATTTTAAACAGACTCTTCCACAGAGGAATATGACGAAATAAATCAGATTACACAGAAGTTTGTGGCTGCAGGCTACATTGTCTTCAGTTTCTGTGTATCATGCTTCTGTAAAGGAAGTGATTCTTTTGATACTCTTTCTCTTGGACCCATGTCTTATCTAAGACTAGCAGTATACCCCTTTTCTGAACAACAACAACAAAAAAAATCAGTGCTTAGATAACTTTTCTCTAACAGTGTAACTATGAAATATCAGACACATCGAATTCACAGCATTCCTTCCCAGACAAACAAATATAGAATCATAGAATGGTTAGGGTTGGAAAGGACCTCAAAGATCATCTAGTTCCAACCCTCCTGCCATGGGCAGAGAAATCCTCCACTACACCAGTTTGCCCAAAGCCTCATCCAACCTGGCCTTGAACACTTCCAGGGATGGGGCATCCACAACTTCTCTGGGCAATCTGTTCCGGTGCCTCACCACCCTCAATGTAAAAAATTTCTTCCTTATATCTAATCTAAATCTCCCCTCTTTCAGTTTAAATCCATTGCCCCTTGTCCTATCACTACACACACTTGTAAAGTCCCTCTCCAGCTTTCCTATAGGCCCCCTTTAGGTACTGGAAAGCTGCTATAAGATCACCCCGAGCCTTCTCTTCTCCAGGCTGAACAGCCCCAACTCTCTCAGCCTGTCTTCATAGCAGAGGTGCTCCAAGCCCTCGGATCATCTTTGCGGCCTTCCTCTGGACCCACTCCAGTAGCTCCATGTCCTTATGTTGGGGACTCCAGAGCTCAACGCAGTATTCCACCAGGTGGGGTCTCACGAGAGTTGAGTAGAGGGGCAGAATCACTTCCCTCGACCTGCTGGCCACACTTCCTTGATACAGCCCAGGATACGGTTGGCTTTCTGGGCTGCCAGCACACATTGCCGGCTCATGTTGAGCTTCTCATCCACCAGCACTCCCAAGTCCTTTTCCTCAGGGCTGCTCTCAATCCATTCTCCGCCCAGCCTGTACTTGTGCTTGGGATTGCCCCAACCCAAACGAATCATTCTTGGAATACAAACACATCTCAAGGATCAGAAATGGTGAGGAATTTAGGAAAAAAAGACCTCCACAACAAAGAGAAACTCCTAATTACAAGCACAACCTTGTTCAAAGCTAAGTATTAACAAGCAGAAGTTACTACAACATATACCTGTGATGCCCATATAGAGAAAGCTCTACTTAGAAAAGTGACTATTCCATATCCTTAATAGGTTTGAAGATTTAGCAATAACAGTGAGCCCACAGAACACCAGACTGAACACACACAAACTAACCAATGCAAAGGAAGTCAGTTCACAAGAAGCTTTTTCATTGAACTTGCACAAGTTTCTTGCCTTTCTTGCTTACATAACTGAGTAGGCTAGCTGGTACTTTATGACCTTAAATACAATAACTTTAAAAAGAGTGTGGCAAATACAAGTTATTTGGACACTAGTTTAAAAATGGAGTAAAGCTGAATATAGTCACCACTGCACGGTCTACAAAGTACTCAGCTTTTGTTTTCCAGGTACAAGATGCCAGATACAGACCCACCAAACACAAATGTACTGCTGCTGCAGCACAGCACAGACACAAGACATTGTGTGATTTTCGTCGAGGGGGAGAAGATGTGAATGGTCCCTGGAACACTGACAGCCAGATGAATTGATATGTGGTCTTCTACCTCCACCACTCATGAGGAACCTTCAGCTCAACCTATATGCCCCAAATACGATGCTCAACCATGCTGCACACTGCACATGAACAGCAAGTTATATGATAACAAGTCCACCTTGACCACACAGCATGTGCACATCTGGTCATATGTGGGGCTAAACGAGATCTTCAGGAGTCATGTGTCCCCATCCTTTCCTAACAGCTGGGTTTACTAGCTTATAGTATAAATGTCTTTTACCTTGGCACAACGGTAATGTAGACAGAAAGCCTACATTCTTCTTTTGATTTCTAAAAAGTGGAAACAGAAGCATTAACTAGCATTTCTTCAGAACTACTTTCAATATAAAAATCCTCAGCTTTCCTACACATTTTACCACTTCTAGTGGAGGAACAAACAACAATGTTTACCACATAAGACAAAAAAGAGACAACAAAACAGGGAACTTTCATGTTAATGAATGCACAGCTCCTAGTAACCTAGCATATGAGCCAAAGTCCCATAAAATGATGGCAAGAGACCCAAGGCACAAAAGTTTGCCATTTATCTCAGGTCTCAATGATACGAGGATGCATTGGACAACAAGGTCTAGTTAAATCAAAAAAATAAGGAACAGCCATTTACCAACACAGCCAGCTTCTTGGTTTCTAGATGACCTCCTGTTCATGACTGGACAAGCCAAAAGCCTTCCAGCATAAGTATTTCCAAGCAGAGCTCCACTTTTGATCTTTAAAAGCCCTGAACTTTCCAAGAGAGACAAGAACAAGAAAGCCTAAAGCAACAGACTCCATCTATAAAATGGCAGTATCTTATCCCTGCTCTGAATGATTTCTGGAAATGATTGCACAAACACACATAATTTGGTGATTTTTTCTTTTCAATTATTGAATGAGGTATCTTGCCCCTTCCTGCCCTTAGCTAACATGTGTAACTTGTATCTGACTGAAAGAATGCAGATGGTTCAACTAACAAAAAAGCTAGATCTAATTAAAAACTATAGCTCTCACAGTCACAGCTTATTAAATATTTTAGGACCTCTAACTTGAAACAAAAGTAAAGTTCTATGGGACCCCAGGAACAACTGATTTATTCAACACTTCCAAAACGTCTGCATACCTATGTATGTTTCACACCTGCGTGTTGCTCTGCTAGCACTTTGTGAAGCTTTTAACTCCAAGAGAATAGTCTTTAAAAAAAGATGTGCTGTTTTAACATCTACTTCTCTGTGCTCACAGATCTTTTAAAATGGCCTTAAAATAAGTAAGTGCATACAAATGCCACCGAAAGTTAATTTTCAAAGATGAGTTTGACCAACAAATACTATCTATGCTTTTAAAAAGAGCGTACAAAAGGCAGAGGCGGAAACAAGCAGAGATCTTACTTGAAATCACTATGTCTAAACAGCTGCATCTACATTGTTTTTTCCATGCAACAACATTAGATGGTAACTAGAAACAAAGTGTATAATGCACATTCTGACTTTGGGATTTAAATTATTTTTACTACTACTTTTTGTTGGTAGGATTTTTTTCACAATGTAGATATAACATTTATATTTCCAGAGGAAGTGAAAAGAGACTTCATCCTACTGTCCTTCCTCTGAATTTTTTGTATTGTGCTCAAGTTTTCACAAGTGGAAAAGGAAACTTAAACTTAAAAAAAATCTTATACACAGTATCTTTTTAAAAATTGTATTCTTGAAAGCTATCTTTCAAAAGAACTTGCATAAAACGTGCTTGATTACCACTTTGATCATATTCCATGAACAAAAGTGTACTTATTTATTTGTTAAAGGAAGACAACATGCTTTATATTGAATATATCATACCTGGGCTTGGGTATCAGAAAACAGAAGAGGTTTGTAACAGTTAAGAGATGATCACTAGTGGACTGAGCACAACTGCATGAAGAACAACAATGAACAGACTACTGTAGTACTTGTTTAGTAACCTGTTATTATCCAGGGGACTGTAGCAGTTATTTGGCTCAGTCGCCCTTTACCGAACATGTAATTTTGTTTCAACATCAGACTGAATGCAAAAGAAAACTAAAAACCAACCTGTGTGTGTAATTTGAGTCATAAATAGAAAATGCTGCTAGGTAATTTATGGAGCATACCACTATTACACAGGAAGTTTAATAGAATACACAATGAGATAAAAGTATCCACAGTTTCCTAGCCTGTCACTTCAGTAGTATTTCATTCTTTTTCCCTTCTCCAGCAACATGTAAATCACTGCAGCCAGTGTGGATAACAAATTACAGGAACAATGAAACACACCAATAAGTAATTTTTACTTTTCAAACCCACAATTCCCCAATCCCCAAATCAAGATCCTATCTAACAGTTCAGACATCCCACCTGGCTGTTTTATGAACCTCTCCTTCTGGAGACACACTACAGGATTTTATAGTTCTGCACAGTTACAATTTTTTGTAATTATTTGGCTTTACTCAACAAAAGCTAAGAATTCCAAAAATCAAATCCACAAAACTTAAACTTATTTCAATAAAGAGAAAAGTTATTGAAAAAAATCACTATTAACACCTTTCTGTGAGAAGTGACCGGATTTATCAAACACGACTACAGTGTTGACAACAATGTCAATCACATTTAGATGTTCTTGTATCACTAATATAACAAAGGGAACTAAGCCCAGAATGCAATACAGTGATCACCCAATAACTATTCTCGTTTGGTGGGAGGAGTTACAATAAACACATTATGTGTTAGAATAATCCATTTTTGGTTTTTGTTCTGAAGAGTCACCATACACTCAAACAGTAACTAATATTGAACAGAGCGTTTAATTAAGTTTAAAGCTGATGACTCACTAATTACACTTTTTCAAAG